GTGGCGCATTTTGCCAGCTGCGCAGGATGCTGTCGGAGCGGCGCAGCATGCGGCCATGCCTGGGCGCGGGGCTCCAATGGCGCTCTCAGCTGCTCTTGTGCTGCAGCGCCTGGCGATTGCGCGCAAGATGTGCATTGGGTTTCTGTTCGTTGACGTGGTCAATGCACTCTACGCGGCTATTCGTGAACTCGTGATGGCCACGGACACATCTAGGGATTCGCTCCGAAATCTGCCGGCGTCGGCTGGGCTTCCTGAAGCCCACCTCCCGCTCTTAGAACAGAGGCTGCGGGAGTTGCCCCTCCTGCGTCGCCGCGGACTGTCGGATCGTTTCGTTGGCGTGGTTGAAGAGGCCTTTCGCCTCGGTTGGTTCCAAGTCCCTGGGGCCGAGCGCGTTGCCATTGCGTTTCGTGGTGCCCGTCCTGGGACTCTCTTTGGAGATGCTGTTTTCATCTTCATCATTGTTGTAGTGACTGCTATAGTCACTAGGCAGTTGGGTGATGAAGGGTTGCTTTTCCAACTGGAAGCACCTTCCTCTGGCGTCTACTCTCCTCTTTCTCCTGACGAGGTCGTCGATCTCCCTGGTCTAGTTTATGCAGGCGATTCGTGTTTTGTGTTGATGGCTTCCATCGACAGGTTTCTGCCCGCCCTACCCAGCTTCTGCCGCATTGCGCTCAACTCCTTCGCCCCAGTCGGCCTAGCGCCGCGCTTGCAAGTGGGTAAGACGGAGCTTTTGCTCGACTTGAGAGGACAGGGATCCGTGGACGCGTGGCGTAACCCGTTTAAAGCCCCCCCAATCCACGTCAGTCCCCGGGCTGGTTTGCGGAGGGGAATGCGTTTCAGTTGTTCAGTCTACCCATTTCTTGGGCAGCACGTCGGATGACGAGGCGCCCTCGGGCCCTGAGCTGGCCTGTCGGGATCGAGGGGCACCTGGGGCCATGAAAGCATTGAGGCGCGCGGTTTCTAAAGCCCCTGGGAAAGATATGCCGCCTAAGCTCTCCCCCTTCGACGCGCCGTCCGTCGACGCCGCCCTATGCGCAGCAGGCTCTTGGTATGAAATGACCAAGGCTGAGACGCTACGCCTGCAGTCGCAATGCATTCGGCGATGTCGCGGGCCCCTTCGATTGCCAAGGTATTTCTTGGTATGAAATGACAAAGGCTGAGACGCTACGCCTGCAGTCGCAGTGCATTCGGCGATGTCGCGGGCCCCTTAGATTGCCAAGGTACGAAGCAGGAGGACCTACTGATCTGGCAGTTCTGGCGCAGGCGGCAAGACCCACCGCCAGCGCGACCATTCGGGATCCAGGTTGCGGCTCTTCGGCCAGGTGTTAATGTCAGCCCCGCGGCCTCTCCTAGCTATACTAAATGCAGAGCATGTTGCATCCAGCAAGTCCTGGTTTCATGCCATTCGTGAAGATCTGATGTGGTCTCGGGCTGCACATCCTAAGTTTAAAATTTTGAGCTGCCGAGCGCAGGCATGGGGCCCTACGGAAGTCGCCTGGAGGATGGAAGCGCGTTCTTCGCGCTGCCATTCGGGCGTCTGTGTCTCGGCTCCAGCGCGACGTGGAGGCCTCGCAATGGCAACTGCGAGTACTGGCAGTTCTGACAGCTGATGGGTTACCTCATTGGCGTGACCCCCCCCCCGCGCGCCCTCCAAATGCGGCCGCCATGCTGACCCGCTGGAGTGTGCAGAGGCGCGGTCGCTCGATGCCCGCATCAGGCGCGATCACTTTACATGCATCGACCTCGCACGCGCGAAGGTGGATACCCCGCGGCGCGCGCGCTGCCTTGAGGCGCGTGCCAGCCGTTCGCTGCTGCCGAGACACATCGCGGCCCAGAGGCCGACATGTATTTTTTTTATCTCGAGCGCGCCCCGCTGCTACCTCGGCAGGTTCGCGAAGAGCTAGCTGCAGAGGAGAGGGCCGGAATCAGGCGCGTCGGCGCCAAGGTTATTCGGCCTCGAGAGGCCGCTCCCCTTCTTTTACTGCCCCTGCCACCCCCGCCTTGTGGCGGTTGCAGCTCGGGCCAACTATCCTCGAGCAGTAGCACGCGAGTTTATTTCGGAGATGGTCGAACAGATCACGGGATGGTCCTGGCAGTCTCTTGCGCCCCACGTTTGGGACGAGCCTGAGGTTGCCTGGGGTCCCAAAGCATCTGAAATCGAGTGGCCGTTTGAGGCCTCAGCGTTCCCCGGTGCGCTGCACGTCCAAGCCCCGAGGCGCATTTTGCGCAGGCAGGTTTTTGTCGCCAACCTTTTTTGGGCAGCGGAGACCAGGGGGCGTTCAAGAGGCCATTGAGTTGGCCATGGCGACCTACGCGCCTTCCTTTGAGTTGGTCGTTTTGTCCGTGGACATTCTGCTGGATGCCGAGCTCGGCGACCTTAGAAAACGCAATTCCATCGAGTGTTCTTCCGCGCGCATTCGCGCGGGGCGCACCATTGCGCTAGGAGGGGGGCCACCCTGTGAAACGTTTTGCGCAGCCCGGTGGAGAGAGGGGGGCCCCCCTCCTCTCAGGACATGGCAAGCTCCGCGGGGGGTGACAGAGCTCGCCCCCAGACAGCAGCTACAGGTTGCAGTTTCCAATGACTTGCTTCAGTCCATGGTTGAGCTCATGTGTGCTATGACGATTGCGCAAGGCTGCGCACGGATGGGGCGCCCGCCCCCGCCGTCTTGGGGGCCCCGCTCTGTGCCCTCGTGGAGCCTCCTCCCCCTAAAGGCCCTTCTGGCTGCCCCGTGCTCTACGTTCACCACCTTCGATCAATGTAAGTTTGGTCAAAGTGGGAGAGCCCCCACTGCCCTTTTAGGCATTCGTCTCCCTGACCTCCCTGCACTGTTGCGCAGCGCACCAGGTGGGGGATATTGCTCCCACGGCATGCGCGCACGCGCGGCCATGGGTGGATGGGATCCAGTCCTCAAGCGTTTGAGGACTGCCCCCAAAAAGTTGTACCCGCAAGAGCTGCACCGTTTTAGCCACCGCTATATTGAAGGCTATTCTGCCATCGTGATTAGGACAGTCGTCTGTCTTGGATGGCTCCGAAGAAGCCCTAGAGGCTGAAGAGTTGTTCCGTTTCTTTGTGTCGATTCCAACAATATTGCATTGAATCTTCTTGCCATGGTGCCTGATTTTGTTGTATCTTCCCCCGACCCTCGGCCACTGTCAGCACTAGCTCGGATTTCAGCAGTGCTTAGGTCAGAGGGGGGGAGGATGCCCAATGAGGAGGAGGAGGAGTTGGAATTCACCCACTCAGTGGCGATGCAAGGTGTCGCGGCTGAGGAGGCGTCGTTGGTTGCCTTTGGAGAGAGCCCCCCTCCTCCGCGCCTGCTTCTCACCCCCCACCTCCGCCCCCGCCTCTTCCCTTGGATGTTCGCGAGCGTGTTGCTGCAAACAGAGCAGAAGCGTTGAAGCGGAGACGTGCTCGCTCAAAGGAGCGTCGGCGCGTGCCAGTACAGTTGGCTGGTTTGTTCTCCCATCCCGTGCCTGAGCAGTCACAGAAACCCGTCTTGGTGCAGAGTGATTTGCACTGATGGTTTAACACTTGCGATTTCCAACTCATAGGGGTCGTTGAGGTGTTATTTTAGAGGATGGATGGGACTGGAGGTTGCCGCTCTGTTGCTGTGCCCCTTGTTGCCGCCATTCGAGCCGCGTCCCTGTCCTGCTGGCACACAGGAGGCTATGCGGCCACATGCTCTTACTTGGGGTCGATGGTTTACTTCTACAGAGAGGGGGTCGTGCTGTTTTCTCTGGGTAGGCTCTGGCTCGCGTCCTTTCCGAGGCTAGCCGTCCGCCTTGACTCCCTCCTCCCCCCGCAGCGGCGGCAGCGCGGCGGCGCCCCGAACCGCGCCCGCCCGCAGACGCGCGGCAGGTCCTGTTCTTCACCCTCCTTCCAGACCCTCCACGGCGTGAAGGCCGAGGAAAAGGAGGAGGAGGAGGAGGGGACTGGGGTAAATTTTTGGTTTGCCCAAGAAATCTGGCTCATTTGCCCGTTTGAGTTTTTCTCTGCTGGCCCACACTTGAGCCTCTGGGTTGCGGCTTATTATGTGCTTCGCCCCCTTGGTAGCCTTCTCCCGAGGAGTTTTCGAGGAATGCCTGACCTGACCTGACCTCCTCCTCCTCCTCTGTTCCCTCGTCCTCTTCCTCCTCCTCCTCCTCTTCCTCCTCCTCCTCCTCCCCCTCCTCCCTTTTCCTCCTCCTCCTCCTTATCCTTTTCCTCCTCCTCCTCCCCCTTGTCTTCCTCCTCCTCCTCCTCAGCCTCCTCTTCGTCCTTTCCTCCTCCTCCTCCTCCTTCTCCTCTCCTCCTGACAACTTCCAGCTGCTCGAGACGGGAGTGTGGCCAGGGTATTCCCAGGCTGTGAATGAGCTCAACAAGAGAACCCCCAAGCCGTCAAGCAGCCACACGAAGGCGGGGGGCCAATAGACTTATCCCAGAAGGACAGTGTCCACTCACGGGGAAAACGTGTGCCTGCCCCTCCTGCTTGTCCTGTTCGTCCTGCTCCTGCTCCTGCTCTGGCTCCTCCTTCTCCTCTTCCTCCTCCTCCTCCTCCTCCTCCTGCTCCTCCTCCTTTTCCTCCTCCTCCTCTTCCACCTCCTCCTTCCGCGGGCGCCCCAGCAGCACCGGAAGGTCACCGAACCCGGCGCGCGTTGCTTGGCACGCCCAGCGGCGCCCAGAGTTCGTGGCGTAGAGGCGGTCTCCTACAGACTGCAACCATGAGTCTAAGATGTACTTCGACGGCCGCTCGGCCAGCCGTGACGCGCGCGCCTCCCTCCTCCTCCTCCTCCTCGTCCTCGTTCTCGTCCTCGGCGTCCTCCTCCTCCTCCTCCTCCTCCTCCTCCGTAGCCATTTTGGCTCAAGATGTCCTGGTGCGCAGCGGCGTCCAAATGGATACCGCTGTGCCGCGGCCAGGAGTGGGGATTCCTTTGCAGCCACACCCAGGGCGTGCTGCCGCCAAAGACTGGTCCGCGTGGACCCACAGTTTTGTGCCCGCGAGGGCTCTCCACCGCAGTGCATGGCGGCCGAGGAGGAGCGGCGCAGGGCGGGTCGTGCTGGTGGTGGCCACCGCGGTCCTGGTGCTGCTGACGGGCGGAGGCGCGGCGACAAGGGCAAGGAGCAGCCCCCAGCCGAGGACCTGCGGTCGGCCTCCCGCAGCACGAACGAGCGGGCCCCTGCGCGGCGTCGGGCTCGGCGGGGCCACCCACGCTCCGACGGCGAAGCGGATGCCTCGGGATCGCCGGCCAGTGATCGTGCGCGCCATGGACCTGGAGGACTCGATCGCGCCGCCCAGGATGAGCTCGCGGCTGCTTTCGAGGCGGCGGCCACCTTCCCCTCGCAGGAGCGTCATGCCATGCAAGTGGAGCAGGCGCCCGCTGGCAACCCGCAAGCTGGACCTCAACATGCTCCTCCTGACCCGTGGCAACGCCCTGGTGGGGATCCTTGGCATGATCGTGCTGCCCCCGCTGATGGACACTCTGAACCTCCTGCTGCTGGCACTCCCATCGGTGGGATGGCCACTCCTGTGGACGCTGGCGGCATGGACATGCAGGCCATGTTGCAGAGCTGCATTCGCCAGGCCACCGACGCCATCGCCGCGACCTCCATGGCCCAGGTCACTTCCTGCCAGACGCAGCTGGTGCGCATGTTTCAGACCCAGCAGGAGGCTGTCAACAGGTCCCTCGCCGTGCAGACGCGCGACATCGCATCCATCGGTCAGCGCGCCGACGCCCTGGAGGCGGAGCAGGCTGCCATGCGCAAGCAGATCGGGGACATCAACAAGGCCCTGGCCCTCGCCGAGAAGGAGCTGCCCATCATGGACTTTCAAGAGCTGGAGGCGTGGTCTCGTCAACCCAACCCGCGGATCTTCTCGATTGGGGCGCCGCAGTTGGTTGGGCCCGCCCAAGCTCTGCAAGGATTGGAGGAGTGGATTCGTGCGGCTGGCCTCACCAACGACATGGTCCGCATCGACCCTGCGGTCCCCTCCAAGCGCTTCAACGTCTTGGTGCAGGGCGGCGACGGTGTCGCTCTCCCTCGGGCCCAAGCACTTGCACGGCAGCTACGTGACCCAGCTGGCAGGAACGGATGGCGCTCCTTCAGCGCCCAGAGCGTCGGCGGTGGCGCCGTCCCGCTGTACCTCTCGCCCGACAAGTCTCCGCAGCAAGTTCGGATGGAGATTCAGTCGAGGAGGCTCTCGGCTCTGTTGGCAGAAGCTCATCCTGATCTGTCTTTCAGTGCTCAGCGGGCCCGTGGCATCGTCACCTCCCAGGGCGTCAAGGTTGCCAAGCTCGAGATGGGCGAATCCCGCTACACCGACACTATCATCAGGTGGAACCCAGACATGGTCGCCAGGCTGCACATCGACAGGGAGTCCATTAACACGCAGTTCAAGAAGGCCTTCTCCACGGAGGACAACACCGAGTGGATGTAGCACCCCACTGTGGGCGCCATGGCGTCCTCCTGGCGATCGGCATGGCTTCCGTGGACTTCACCTGGTCGCGTGGAATGCCCGTGGCCTGCTCCACTCGGACGCGAGGCTGCGCAGACGCAAGTTGGCACTGCTCGCCACATACATGAAGGTCAACGCCATCATCGCCGTGCAGGAGGTCCACGGCTCCGAGGACGCCCTCAGGATCTTCCTCCAGGCGCAGCCGCAGAAGTACTTGAGCTTCCTCTCGCCTGGCCCTTCCGCTGCCGTGGGCGGAGTCGCCTTTCTCGTCCCTCGATGCGTCGATGAAAGTCCAAGGGCGGATGGGCCCAGAGCCGAATCTCTGGGAGGCGGGGGCGTGGCGTGGCGGGTGGGACCTCCTGAGTGCGCCTCGCCCCCTGCTGCATCCTTACCGACTCAAGACACCTGGTCAAGTACACGAACCTCCTCTTCACCGACGACAGCAAGTTGCTCCGACACCTGGTCAAGTACACGACGTTCCCCCACGACGTCCACGTCACTACCGAACAACACCTGGTCAAGTTCACGAAACTCCACACCTGCTCTGCCGTCCTACCGCTTCGACATAGTGGCTGTCGGCCGCGCGGCGCTCCTCACGATCACCGACAGCACGGGCAAGTACAGCATGCAGATCTTCAACATCCACAACTACGACCTCAAGCCGCACGAGTTCACTGCAGCACAGCGCACTTGGTCCAGTGGCCTGGCGTGGGCGCGCCGAGACTCGTTACACCGCATCTTCCTGGGCGTTGGTGACTTCAACATAGCTACCCGCCCGCCAGTCAGTCAACGAGCACCCTCAGACTCTACGGCTTGGCGCCTCCGACCTGATCACCGCCGCCAACTTCGGCAACCTGCGTGGCGCCGTCTATTCGCCGCAGCCATGGAGGTTGAGTCTCAATGGCCGACCCACTACGACAAGTCCTGCAAGCAGCTGTCCACGATCGACCGCATCTTCCTGGGCATCGACGCGCACGCCATGCTCTCGGTCTCGACGATCCTTACCACGGCGAGGGACGCGATGGAGCTTTCCGAGGCGGGCATCAGCGACCACGCGCCCCTCGTCCTGCAGATCACTGCCGCACGCCATGTCCCACGAGACGAGCAGCCAATCCCGACGCACCTCTTCAACCACAGGAAGTACCCCGAGACCTACACGCTCATGCTGGACCACTGCGCCCTGGCTGGGGAAACGGCGGAAGGCCGCTGGAGAGCAGCGAAGCAGTGCATGAAGCTTGCTGCGCGACGTGTTCGTGATGAACAGCTGCGGACCAACTTCTCCCTACACGTCAAGGACTCCACGGTCGAGACCTCGCGCATGGGTTTCAAATCGGCGGCGCGAGCAGTCTGGCGTCAGGACGCTGTCCTGGCAGGTAGGCTTATCGACTCCTGCCCTGCGCTGACCGCCCACCTCCACATTACCGACGGCACCGTGCGCCTCGTGGACCCCCACAGCTTTGCCACCAACTTCGACGCCATCGCCGAGCGGGTGTACTCCCTGCGCAGGCAGGCGGCGGAGGCAGCAGCTCGGACGGCCAACGTGCGCGACAGCGCAGCCTGGCGGAGGGTTGAACGCAAGGCCGCCAGACATGCGCAGCTCTGGGTCCCGTGGCGGCGCCGCATGATCCTCTCGGGCTTGCGCGTGGACTCCGCACCGTGTGCCGCCAAGGACTCGCAGGTGGCTCAGCACGTGGTCTCCGACCCCGCGGGCATGAAGGCGACTGTGGCGAACTACTGGGGTGAGATCTTCGCGAAGGTGCCGAATCCTGAACAGCTCAAGGCATTGGACGCCTTCCTGGACAAGCACGCACCAAGGAACCCTGCGGTGGAACTACCTCAACCTGCTCTACGCGACCTGGAACGCGCGGCCAGCAGGGCCCCGCCGAGCGCTGCGGGACCAGATCAGCTGACGTACGCAGCATGGCGCCGCAGCCCTGGAGCCTTGCAGCATCTCCAGGGACTCATGGAAGTCCTCTTCAACGACGGCGTGGCCCCGCTCGACCTCAACTGGTCGATCTTCATCTGCGTGCCGAAGGGCACGGAGGAGGACGACGTCCCCGACTCCTGCACGCGCACGGCCTCCGCGGTGCGCACCCTCTCCCTGAAAAACTGCGACGCCAAGCTGATCGCGGCCTGTGCAGATCGAGGGCTCCAGCCCATCGCCACATCATCTACCTCACCCGAGCAGAAGGGCTTCACTGCTGGGCGGCGCTTCGTCGACCACATCCCGTACTTGGACGCGGAATGCCGTAGGGAGGGCCTTCTTCCTGACGCGGCGACCCGCCGCCCCATGTTCCTGTCGTTCGACTTCCGCCAGGCCTTCCCCTCGCTCTTCAGGGAAGTCATCGAGAAGGTCCTCCCGCGCTTCGGGGTCCCGCTGGGCTTCCGCAACGTGATCGCTGCGCTCTACAGCAACTGCCTCGCCTTCAGCTCCTTCCGCGCCGAGGGCGCCAGCGCGGAGCTCGAGCCGCTGTTCGCGCTCCTGTGCGGCATCATGCAAGGATGCCCGCTCTCTGGCACGGTCTGGTGCCTGGCCATGGATGCGCCCATCCGCGCGCTGCTGGCTGCGATTGCTGAGCATGGATTCCTCACGGCCTGCGCCGACGATCTCGGGATGCTGATCAAGAACGCTGTTGCCCTCCCTAGCATAGACTACACCTTCGTCTCCATAGAGCTTGCCTTCAACCTGCAGCTGGCCCTGCACAAGTGCGTGCTGGTCCCGCTGTGGGAGGAGCTAACGGAGGACACACTGCTGAACGTTAAGTCTTTCCTCGCTAAGGAGGTCCCCCGCTGGCTGGGCTTCCGCGTCGACTCCACGGCCAAGTACCTGGGGACTCACCTGGGCCCAGGCGTCACGGACTTCGGCGTCTGGAAGGCTGTTGCGGGGAAATGGTGGACCCGCTGCTGGGAGCTGGCGCGCACTGGCATGGCCACCAGCCTTGCGGCCCGCGCGTGCAACATCAACGCGCTTCCGTGCCTGTCGTACCTCGCGCAGTTCTACTTCATCGTGCCTGCCATCTGGAAGGTCGAGTTCACCTCCCTGCACCGCCTGCTGCGGCTGCCGCCCTCGTCCATGCGCAAGGCTGACATCCGATCGATGAGCGCGTGGTGCGGCTCCCCGTCGCCGATTGGCCTCTTCCCATACACGCTCGCGGCGATGATGCGCTCGGCGGAGAACACGGTGCGCGGATGGGGAGCCCACCTTCACCACCTTCATGAAGTTGCCGTGGAGCATGTCCCACTGATTGACGTGATCAAGGGCAACTGGTCTCCGCCGTGGTGGCGGACGCGGAGGGCGATCGTGCAGAACTACGCCATGATCTCGGACGCCCACGACCAGCTGGACATACCCAGACCGACGCTCGACGCGCTCTCGGCCCCGATCCCGAGCAGGTACCTCAAGATCGCGAAGTCGGCGATGACCCTGGAGACGAAGACGGCGGCAGCGGCCACTCCCTCCAGGAAGCCCAAGCGCCAGGCCACGGCCGCCGCTTCGCTCCGTGGCTTGCTGTACCCCGAGGACCTGGTGGCCACCATCCACCGGCGGCTGCGCAGGTGGGGTGTCGAGTGCTCGCTGCCCGTGCTGCGCGAGAGGTGGCCTCCGCTGCGTAGCAAGCTGACGGAGGTCCGCCCTGCCTGGATGTGGTCGTGGATGCGCACCGCGGTCAACGGCTGGACGACATCGCGTCGCATGAGCGCCGTCATCGACGCGCGTCCATGCCTCTTCGGCTGCGACGAGGAGGACGCGCTCGAGCACTACATCGACTGCCCGATCCTCAGGGCGATGACTGCGGGCGACGCGGGTGCGGACTCCCTGGGCAACGGCCCCGAGCTCCTCGGCTTCGGCGACGAGCAGTTCCACGCGAAGCGACCCATCACGGATTGCATCTACGCGGTCGGCCTCATGTGCCAGTGCTACCACATCCAGAAGCACCGCATGGACGTGGGCCTGGACGCTGGAGCTGACCAACGGGCTGGTGTGAGACTGGCCGCGCTGCATCGCATGCAAGCATAGGCGAGGCTGCAGATCGAACTGCCCACCGAGCTTCGTGCCCTCCTCCTCCTCCTCCTCCTCCTCCTCCTCCTCCTCCTTCTCTTCCTCCTCCTCCTCCTCCTCCTCCTCCTCCAGCAGCGGACCGCGTGTCCGCACCACCTACGCGCCCCAGCCGCCGCCGCCGCCCCCGGTGCGGTCCCACCGCCAGGCGCCTCCGGCGCGGTCCCACCGCCAGGCGCCTCCGGCGCAGCCCCACCGCAAGGGGGGCCGCCGCCGCGCGACACCACCCCGACATCGGCGCCAGGTACGTGGGCTGCCCCCCCGTCGGGGGACCCGTACCCTTTTCTCTCCCCAGGGGGGACGAGCCCACGCCCCTGGCAAGCCAGGGGTCCTCCCGTCGACGGCCCTGGGGAGCAGCCGACCCCGAGATGGTTGTGGGCAGCGGCCTCCGCGGCAGCCCGCGCGCCTGCTGCCAGCCGCCTGGTGAGCCCCCGGTTCAGCGCGTCGCGCCCCTCCGCCGTTCGCCCGCTACCCTGCCGGTCCGCGAGCCTCCTCCAGCTCGCAGCGGCGCCCCCGGCCTTGCCCGCGCGCGCCCGCAGCCCAGCCGCCCCGCAGGCCCCCTGCAGCCCCCCAGCCCCCAGCCGCAGCCTGGCTCCCCGGTGCGCCGCCCTGCAGCGCCGGCGCCGCCTCCGCCGCCTCCAGCCGCCTTGGCGCCGCCTCTGTCCTCAGCCTCCCCCTCCTCCGCCTAGCGCCGCGGCGCCCTCTGGCCGCCCGCTGGGCGCCGCCCGGAGCGCGGCGGCCGCCCGCCAGGGCCTGGCCTGGGCGGCGGCCAGCACCGCGTCCGCAGCGTGCCGCTGCAGCACGCAGCCAAGGGCCTGCTGGAGCTCGCGGATGGCCGCCGAACGCCCCGCGTCGTCAGCAGGCGCCAGCCTCTTGGCGAGGGCCGCCGCTTCCTCCCCCAGCCGCCCGTGGTCCTCCACTACGAAGG